TCCCTATAAAGATTAAGTCAGCTGCTTCCTTATGAAGTCTCTTGTCTTTACCCTATAGGTACGTCCATTCTGATGAGCTCTCTCCGTATAGGCAGTATCGGCTTTCTTGATTCAGTTGCTAGAGCGTGTTGTTTTTGGGAACTAGGGAGGGGAGCCACGCTCTTAACTGCTATGTCACCTTGCCTCTTAGTGAATTGTGCGAAGGAGTCATAGACGCGCATAGGAATAAAGCCATCTTATTTAACAAATCAGAGGACATTAATAGCCTTTGTCAGAGGAGAGTAGGAAGAAGTAAGATGGTGTCAGGAGATTTACTGTCCTTGGGGCATGTCAGATTCATTTTCTGCAGTTTCCTTCCCCCGGAATGGTTTCTCCCCAGATAGTCACGTCTCCATCTCCCACTTCGCTCAGGTCTCTGTTGAAACGTCACCACATTTCCTAACCACGCTAAAATAGTTCCCCGCTACGGCCTAAGTCTCTAATGCCAGCTTTATTTTTATAACATTTAACACTGCCAGACACTATATGTCTTTAAGCATATATTTAACTGATTTTTCAGCACATCTTCTCCATTGAAAGGAAAATTTCACGAGACCTTTTCAAGGACCTGCCTTGTTCATTGTCTTTCCACAGAACCTACAGCAATGTTAGCACATAGTATGTGTTAATGACAAAGACATGTTAAAGACAGATATGAAGACGTGAGTAGTTGGAAGCAACACATATTAGTCATTTTAATATGTGTTACTTTAAATAACACATATTAAAGTAACTTTAAATATTAGTTACTTTAAATTAATAGTCAGGTTTGGTCAAATTTGATCTAAAGCCACAAATTACAGATTTCAGAGATTGCTAGCCATCCTGAATCTTTCCTAATTAACTACCATGAGAGGGAGAAACAATGGCAAAGCATTTGATAAAACCTGAAGGATAGTAACTATCTTATGTATGTATTTCAAGGTGGTAGATCTACTAGTATCCATGTGTAGGTCCGCACTGGAATCTCCTAGAAAAGTTGTCATTTTCGAGCCATATCCTTCTGTGGTAGATCCTAACAATCCTCAGATGCTGGCCTTCAACCCAAGGGTAAGTAGTCATCCTAGCACATCAATCACAAGTTTCCTTTAACAATAATTGAGATTTTAGTCTCATTAGCTTTCTTTTTTCTTAGCTAAATTACTGTCTCATCATATCCATGACCTGTCATGAACTCTGTATCCATTTAGCAAATATGATTCTTTTTCCACAAATTTGATTTACTTCCACCATGTCTTTCATGTATCCTGTTACTTCTCCTCTCCTTTTCTCCTTTAAAATCATTTTCCTAACTTTGCCTTCATGAAACTAGACCCATTTAATCCCCCCAAATTCTGATCTTTACACATCCCATCTGCATGGAAAGTAGGTAAATAACTATAATACATTGGTGTATAATGGTCAATATGATTATTTTAATTTCATCATATATTTTTTGAGATTCTAACTTATGTAATCTCATTTTAATTTTAAGGATCATGGGTAAAGGGACAAATTTTCCCTTTTCTTTTGTATTTTTATTTCATCCTCTCTTGCCCTCCCCTCTCTCCCTCCCCAGTTATCTGAAGGTTAGTGAAAGTTTATTTCATATTGTTGATCAACTGACATTTCTTGAGAAAGCAGTTTTATAAATATTCAGGGAAGTTTGGCAGAATTCTTCTGAAATAACATGATTTTCAAATTACATGAGAGCCAAAATTGCCTTAGTTTCTGTTACTATTGATCTTGAAATCATTTTATGGAAACAAGGACTATATAAAATTCTCTTGGAAAAACTTTCCCTCCTTCATAAGTGGCAGTGCACATATTTTCAGTGTGCTTAAAAATGAATTATCAGTTGAGTGTATGGTGTCATTTACACACTTATTAATCATACTTGTTTGGTAACAATCTTCCAATCAAAAGGAGCTAAAAGCAAAATGAAACTGTAAGATTTAAAGTGGATTTTTGTGTTTTAGAAGGATTCTGTGCTTACTTTATTCATCATGGCTTAATTTTTTAGTGGTGACAACAAGAATCAGGAGCCTAATATCTTTTGTGTATTTATAGCTTTTCCCCTGTAAGCTGAACATCATTTTATATATTTACACTAAAACTGGCATTATTTTCTTTTTTCTTCCCTCTGACTCAGTTATAAATCCTATGTCCTTGAGCCATCTTATTAAAGTCTTCCCTTTTTTTTTTTTTTTTTTGGGGTACATGGGCCTCTCACTGTTGTGGCCTCTCCCGTTGCGGAGCACAGGCTCCGGACGTGCAGGCTCAGCGGCCATGGCTCACGGGCCCAGCCGCTCCGTGGCATGTGGGATCTTCCCGGACCGGGACACAAACCCGTGTCCCCTGCATCGGCAGGCGGACTCTCAACCACTGCACCACCAGGGAAGCCCAAAGTCTTCCCTTTTGTGTACACAGCACAGTCATTGCTTTCAAATTGACCCTGATGGAAAATTCAGGTACAGAAATAATATGTCTCTCCAGTAATGTGACTTGCAAAGGCTTACGGTGAATACTATTTTTCCCCCATTCAAACAGAAGAAGAACTATGATCGAGTAATGAAAGCATTGGACAGCATAACTTCTATTAGAGAAATGACACAAGTAAGTTTATCATCTTGTGGTCTTGTACAGTTCAGTTTTGCTTGAGTGAAATGATATTTTTAAAATATCTGAGAGTACTGGCCATGTGGTGAAATGTAGACTTTTCTATTATATGAGAGTATAATTAAAATCATAAAAAAATGAAAACTGTTTTGTACTAGGATGTTTTAATTAAATTACATCAGTGTTTTGGCATGCTACCACTGTGACTTTGGAGGATAATTGCATAATCATAATCCGAATGCTCGGCTCTCAAACTCAGACAAGAATTTGTTGGAATATCTTAAGGCAAAAGTTAAATCTGGTACCATCTTCCTCGACTGCCAATTTTAATTAATGGTAGTAATTTCAAAACATTTTAATGTTAAAATCAAAACTAATATTCTGTCAAATGTAAATTACACATAAATAGTTTAGATGTAACAGAGAATCTCAAAAGAACTTTGGAAAACACCAGACTCCTTGAGAGCATGAGTTTATATTTTTGGCCCTTAGGGAGGTTTTGGTGGAAGAGTTTGATGAGCAAGGATCAGGGTTTATTATGAAAGTCCAGTATATCCCTGGGCAGGAGTCCAGCACTTGGAAAAGCACATCTTATTGAATTATTGAGGCCTTTCCACTGCCAAACACTTGGCGAAAGGTTTGAAGCTCATCATTATAAGTAGAAATTAACAATCTAATTGACAATACCACACATTATGGGTTGAGTTTGCATATGGTGGTTTCAAGGCTTGCACTGCCCCTAGAGGCCTTTGCAAGTTTATGGTAAGTATTATTCTGAGTCATTTGCCTTTCTCTGGGGAGGGAGGGAATAGTGATTTCTCCAGTCTTGGGGCCCACAAAGCTTCTGTGCCACTCCCCCTCCCCCACTACCCCATCTACTCCATTTGCAGATGTGCATCCAAAGTACATTTTTTTTAAAAGATTTATTCTTTCTTAAAATTTATTTATTTTATTTATTTATTTTTCAGCTGCATTGGGTCTTCATCACTGTGCACGGGCTTTTCTCTAGTTGTGGCGAGCAGGGGCTACTCTTGGTTGCGGTGCGCAAGCTTCTCATTGTGGTGGCTTCTCTTGTTGTGGAGCACGGGCTCTAGGTGCACGGGCTTCAGTAGTTGTGACTCACAGGCTCAGTAGTTGTGGCTCACGGGCTCTAGAGCGCAGGCTCAGTAGTTGTGGTGCACGGGCTTAGTTGCTTCACGGCATGTGGGATCTTCCCGGACCAGGGCTCGAACCCATGTTTCCTGCATTGGCAGGCAGATTCTTAACCACTGCACCAGGGAAGCCCAAAGCCAATTTTCACATTCCCAAATTTGATTCTTGGTTCTTTTGATAGTTATTTATTTATGAAGTCAAATACTCATTCATCCATTCAATAAATGGTGTGTGTCAGACAGTGATAAACAAGAGATCCTTTAATTCACAAGTTATATTATTTGCTTAAAAGCCGTCATTCTTTCCACCTGTTTTTCTGTGCCCTTTCTACATTATCAGAATTCCTTTTCAAGCAAACATTTATTATTTGTATAAGGAAAAGAAAACAAGAAATGCATTTCCACTTAGGGGGAAAAAAGAACCCATTGCAGTACCTTATATACAATTAAATATTTTTGGTCACCAAAGACTTTGGTATAGGATATTTATACTAGACCGTAGATTCAGACCATTCTTGCATCTAAAAATAGCTGCAAACCCTGACTCTGGGATGTGCCAAGAATTGCTTCCTTTATTCTGGGTCATGTGTAAGCTATTTTAATAGGAGGCAGTGGAGATGATTGCATGTCAGCTTGGGAAGTTGGAGGCCCATGTGATATAATTTGCTCATCAGTGACGTGGCCTGCAACCTTGAGCAAGTTGCTTAATTGCTTGATGCCTCAGTTTCTTCATTGCCAAGATGGTGAATAGTAATGTTGCCTTCTCCCTCAGTGTACACTTCATAGGGGTGCTGTCAGGTTTTATCCTGTCAAATTCTTTAAACTTCTCCAAATAAATATAACATTATACTGGCCTAAATTGTCACAGACAGATTGCCTTTCTTTCTAGGAAAATGTTAATTGTCTGGGTGAATTCCATCAATACTTTTAAAAGAAGGGGTCGTCATTTTATGTAAATTTTGTCCAATTTTCTCACGTAAAGATCTACCCGAAGTCAGTACCCTCAGATATGAGCATGAGTAGTAGCTATTACAAGTTTCACTTTCATGTTAGTTAAATGTTAAAAATGTCAAAGAGAAACCAGACACTTGATAAAGGTGACAAGACAGATTTATTCAAGTACTGCAGTAGGGAAGAGAAACTTGCAGTGTGAGCTGAGATCACCTCCGAGTAAGGCAAGGTGACCGAGGTTTTTAAAGTGAAAACAGAGAGGGAACAAAAAGAGGCTACAGAGAAGTGAAAATCGGTGGGGCTCTGGGGAAATGGAAATTTCAGGGGGAATAAGAGAATTACTGAAAGGTTAACTGTATGGGTTGGTACCTTTTGTGTTTTAGCAACATTGGGTTTTCTTGAGCAAAGACTCAGCAGTGGTCCAGGGACTTCCAGCCCAGTGCATGGAAGCCAGGCTAAAATTCGATTGAGCCTCTTATCAAAACGTTCCGGCAAGTCCTTTGTCCTGCATGGAAGGTCAGAGTTCATATCATCTTGGGGAGAAGCAACTAGGGTAATGGCTGCCACTATCATGTCACAACCACAGGTTTTCACGTTTAACTGGATTAGGCATACCTGTTCAATCTGATTTTCCTTTTGCAAAAAAAGAAAAAGAGAAAAGAAAAAAAGGAATTTTTAAGAAAAATCAAAATGTATAATGACTTTTTTTTCAGGCACCGTATCTGGAAATCAAGAAGCAGATGGATAAACAAGACCCCCTTGCTCATCCCTTACTGCAATGGTATAAAATTTAGTTTTCCTCTTAATGAAAACAGCATCACTTTCTACTGCCTGCTTTAAGGAAAAAAAAAAAAAAAGCCTATATTGCAAGACCTGCAATGCTACAGTTCTACAAGCCTATGAGGCCTGGTGATTTTACAGTCCAAGAGTCCTTAAGGACTCTCACTTTAATTAAAATTTGGACATCACAAGGGGAAGAAAGTGCTGTCATATGCACTGCAGGGATATACGGTGCAGTCGACAGCAGTTTGTTATCTATCATTTTTAAAAATTTGATTGGTTAGATTACCTGGTGAAGCCATTGTGGCTCATTTAATTTTCTAGTTAACTGTGTGATAAAACTGTTTCAAACACTTACTGAAAATCTCTCTATAATGTGTGTTTTGCATAATTTACTCCCTTAGCAAAGACAGTGTAAATTTCATAAACTGTGTTTGATGACTGCAAATGAGGCACTGTTTCAGAGAAAGTCTGGTAAGGCACACAGTGTTAGTCCAGCCTAACCCTAGAAAAGAAGGGTTAGGCTATAGTTGAGGGGTGGGTTGAGAGCTCCCCTTGCTCTACAACACTTACTTCAAATAATTTGCCCTCTGGTTTCTCATCTGCAAAAAGAAAACAGTAGTATCTACTCACCTACTCACCGTACCTATGGGGGTTTTAGGTGCGTCTCTTTGAAATCACTGACAACTCAAAGACTATGGAATTTACCATGATTATCAGGCAGTAATACAAGTGTAAAGATTATAAGAGATTGGTCTGAATGAGTACTTGTTCCATGCTACAGCCAGGAAGTTTTTAAAAAAATATGTGAAGATGGGCAAAGGAGGAAGAGGCCACCTCATGACTCTTAATTACTTAACTTTCACTTAGGCAGAACCTTACAAAACACATTTAATTTAGTCTAGTAAAACCATGACAAAAGTTAGGTTTTAGAAGTCTTTCTCCTTTGTATCTTTTATAATCGATTTTAAAAATTCTGACGAATTGAGTAAAATAACACATAGTTTTTATTTTAACTTTTAAAATTCTCATATTAAGTCATATTCAAAATGAAGGTAAAAATTTCAAATATCTAATCTCTTTCTTTTTTTCCCTGAAGTTAGCCTGATTGTTCACTTTTAATTATTTGTGATCATTTCCTTCAGCTTGTTAGTCACTCTTCCTTCAAGGAGGAGAAAATTTACCAACATGTTTTACAATTTTTTTAGTTATTATTTTCTATACTGAAAAGCATAAAACAATTAGTCCTTTCAGATACCTGAGGTTTTGATTTTTTTTCAACTTCATTGTCTACGTATGGTGAACAGCAGTTTGTATATAAACCATTGTATGTATCAGCACAAATATCCTCAAATATTTAAAGAAAGGAAAAATATCTTCATAAACACTCATTCTTAGTTAGACAGTGTAGGGAGAAGCAGAGGAAGCAGATGTATGAATCAGCTTCTACATTTTGTATTTAGATTACCATTATTTGAAAGCATATTCATAAATGTTCACTTTGCTGACATCTAAGGTTGTGGTTATTAAAAATTATATCTCTTAAGTTTTAAAGAGCTACTTCTGTGTCTTCAGATTAAAGTATCTTGTTTATTATATCAGCTCTTTAAATTGTTTCAGGAAGCAAAGAAAAATGATGTAATTAAGTAAAATTGTTACTCAATTTAGTTTATGTCACAGCAAAAATAAGTTTTAATCACTTGCCAACTGAGGGGAAAAACACTTTAAATATATGTGGCATATATTTGTGACTGATGGCTTATTTTAATTAATTTCAGGGTTATTTCAAGTAATAGGTCACATATTGTGAAACTGCCAGTTAACAGGGTAAGTTGTGTTTTCACATATACATACAGAAATGTGAGGGATACTTATTAGTTGGGAGAACTGACCCCTGTGATTTTTAGGCAGCCTCTCCAGGAAATTGAAGTTAACTCAGGCCAAGCCTAATTCTTCAGTTAGAAATGACCATATGTGCCCCAGCTCTAAGTTTCTCCAAGATATCAAATTCAATTTCAGGCTGCTGCCCTGAACTTTTAAGTAAACGAGTCAATGTGAAATCATTTAGTTATTCCACATGTGATAGAGAGAACATTATCTAGAGATTGACCAGAAAAAGGTAATGTGCATTTTTATCATTGTCAGTTTAATGTTGGCACAGCTTTACTTTTCTATATTGGAGAAGATATTGCCTCCAGATATCGTACTTATCGGCCTAATATGCTTACAAAATAAAGAAAAAGCTAATGGACTCTGATTTCAGTTCTGATCGTCACCTAGGAGCAGTATCTAAAATCTCAGCTCTCCCATCTATGAATCTCTAAACTATGAGATTCCTATATATTGGATTCCTGTATAAGTACATATATTCTTAGGTGAAAGGGCAGCAATTAGAAAATTTTGTTAAGCGACTGATTCAAAAGATTTTGTTTCAATTTTTTCCATGAGCAAAGTGGGAAACTATAATTTGAATGTAGGCAATTTCTAATTTTACAAATATATGTAAATAAAGCATGATGATGATAATTTTTGCAGTTTTAAAATCTTGAACTAACTTTTCTGCTTAGCAAATTCAGATATTTCCCCAGTTGAATAGCTGGTGGATACTTAGGGAATTCAATAATAAAAGTCTCAAGAAGAAATGTAATTAGGAAGGCAGATCTGCTTGAATGTGATTACATAGCATATTCCAAAGCTAAATATAAATGACTTTGGATTGTCTGTCTCCTATTCCTTTTCCATTAGCCTAAAGAATTATCCTTCAAATCAGCAATTCCATGCGATTTATCATTTATGCAGGGTTTCTGTCAAATGAATGACCCTGTTAATATAAATTATTATGGTTTGAAACTAGATAATTCTTAAACCAGTAAAGTTTGAAATTGTCATCAGCCTGATTGTATGTTAAATTTGACATGTTTTCCTGCATCCTTATTTTAAATGGCAGCAACTGAAGTTCATGCACACTCCCCATCAATTCCTTCTTCTCAGCAGTCCACCAGCCAAAGAATCCAATTTTAGAGCTGCTAAAAAACTCTTCGGAAGCACCTTTGCATTTCAGTGAGTATGGCTTTATGTTTAGGGGTGTGTGTCACCCACTTAGTCTTCCAGAAATGTGTGGGGAGGAAGGCATCCTCTTTTAGTAGTTGGCTGTTAGCACTGGACAGTTCACTACACGATACTTGACTAGGAAACCCAGAACTCTGAGAAGGCACCATGACTTGTTACATTGAGACCCCCATAAAAAGGTCATTGATTTTTGATTTTGCTTTTTCCTTCCCCTCCCCTGTGTTTTAGTGGCTCGCACATTGAAAACTGGCACTCCATTCTGAGAAATGGTCTGGTTGTTGCTTCTAATACACGACTGCAGGTAAATTTTCTGCATGCTTTAACGAGACTCCTTATTCTTCAGTATTGGAGCTCAGTAAGCAGTCCGCCCTGGTGGTGTTTTCACTTGCAAAAGGGGATGCGTGTATGCTTTAAAAAATTATGTGCATTTTTCTAATAGGCATACGTAATTTTCACAAAATAAGTCAAGCAGAATTGATCTATACACAACATAGGGATGAAAAGAAAAAGAAAACTGAGTCCCCCTATGAGAAAATAGTGAAACCACTTTAAACTTAATAGAAAAAAATTATCACAAAAGAGGTAAAACCTTACACAAATTCTCTCTGCTACTCCAACTCAAGTTTTTTGAGCACAACCTCAGTGTGAATACTTTAACAGAAGAAAAGGTAGGGCTAAGAATATGCAAAATGGAGACTGGACACCAAAGAGCCATCGGCTACCTGCTTTTCAGCCCGCAGGGCAGCACATGGGCAGGATACTGTGGGTGTGGTCTTCATCTTTATTTACGCCCTTCATCTCCAGCATCCCACCTCACTCTCATTCAGCTGATTTTCATCTGATGATGTAAGGAGGTCAGGAGATGAAATCCTCAGCCCAGTCACCTGTGCGAGATTGCATATTCTGATGACAATTGGGATGACACAACTAAATATAAATGTTCATAAATACACATTTAATATAAATATAAATGTCCATAAATATAAAATGTCCATAAATATAAATGTCCATAAATAGATATTTATTGAATTAATATTTGGTGCATACTAAATACGGTATGAGGGTCCTAGAGCATGGAGATAATAAGAGAGAATTTTAATTGTTCTGAGTAGTAGACTAGTTGAAGAGTTTCAGTTAATGAAACTCTCCATCACTTGAAAAATTTAGAGGAAGTAAGGAATGGAATGACAGTGCCATATAATGAAAATCTAAGATATTTTGTTGATATACTAGCAGATGAGTCCTGATCAACCTTCTGTCACATGTGTTTCAGCCACGTTTATTTTCAGTATTTTAGAGTCATTAACATAAAAGCCTACTCGAGGGTTTCCCTGGTGGCGCAGTGGTTAAGAAAACGCCTGCCAATGCAGGAGACAGGTTCCATCACTGGTCCAGGAAAGATCCCACGTGTTGCAGAGCAACCAAGCCCATGAGCCACAACTACTGAGCCCGCACTCTAGAGCCCATGCGCCACAACTACTGAGCCCGCATGCCTAGAGCCCGTGCTCCACAACAAGAGAAGCCACTGCAATGAGAAGCCCGCGCACCACAACGAGGAGTAGCCCCTGCTCGCCACAACTAGAGAAAGCCGCGCACAGCAACGAAGACCCAATGCAGCCAAAAATAAATTAATTAACTAAAAAAAAAAAAAGCCTACTCCAGTACTTGATACTAAGTGACTCTTTGTCATCAGCTGGGTGGAAAATCTTTACTAAGGATTTTTTCTGGCTGTCATTTTCCATATATCAATGCACTCTGAATTTTAAGAACAAGGATATTAGTACTCTTTTCAAATTAGACCTTGAAATCAGAGCTTTATCATTTTATTAAGAGCTAATGTTCCAGCATAAGACCAATGGTCTTCTTTTGTGAAATATTAACATTTGAAACCATAAACTGACTGTTTCCTTTCCCACCTCCTCTCATTCTAGCTCCACGGTGCAATGTATGGAAGTGGAATCTATCTTAGTCCAATGTCAAGCATATCATTTGGTTACTCAGGTAAGCTTGTATTTCATTTCAACCTCAAATATATTAAGTTTTTGTTGTTGTATATTCTAGGCACAATTTTTTATCGAGTGAATGAAGCTTATTTGATGTATTTGTATTAAATTCATTTGATAACTGTCAGAAGTAAAAACAAAGCTCACGTGTCAAGATGAATTTATAATACTTCCCCTAGCGTATAAGATGGAGCATATGTTTTGTCAGTTTCAAAATTAATTTTAATTTTGTTTCAATAGTTTCTACATTTATTCCGTCTACAGTAAACATTGAAAATATAGCATGTACAAAATATTATGTAGAGCACTGAAAAAAGTTTATGTACATATTATATTAAAGAAGTTTTAAGCAGTATGGAAAACTTAGGATTAGAAAAACACCCTCAGAACCATCTACTTATTGACAACTTCTTGTTAATATTTTAGTGAGATTGTTTGAGGAAAATATATTGGAATAAACTGAAACCATGTGCCGAGGAGGAGCCTCATAAATTCAAAATATGGAAAGAACGATTACCAAATTGTTAGCATTCGTAATCCTGAGGTAGTAAAACTCAGGGTGATTTTTTTCTTTGTACTTTAAAAATTTTTGGACTATTTCACAATGATCTGTGTGATTTTTTTTCTTAGAACAGAAACTTATTCTGTTTAAATATAAAATAATTATGCCCATTGTAAAGAAATTGAAACTACACAGAATTGTATAAAATAAAAAATGAAACATTTAACTCCTTTCCTGACAACCTCAGGGTTTGGTGAATTCCCCTTTAGACTTAAAGGCTTTTATATTCGTATACCTGCATATATGGTTGATTTTGCTTATGCGCTTGTGTTGTGTGGGGTTACATGATTCCATTAAACAACTTCAGGAGATGTTGTTCACATGGTGCCTGGATGGTAAGTCTTAAGATCCATATATTATAGAAAAGGAGACTTAGAGAGATCTAATAACTAGGAGAACATTGAGCAGGCTTACCTGTGTGATTCTTTTGCCCAAGTTCACACTCTTTCAGCCACAGCAAGTGGTTTCTCAGTGTTGCACCTCGACCTTTCCCAGAGCACATGTCCTAAGAGGACCAGGTGGGCTCTGTATGCCTCTTCTGACCCAGCCTCAAAACTCATGTGGCGCCACTTCCCATGTGCAGTATTGGTCAAAGCAGTCACAAGCCCCTCCATATCCAGGGGCTGGGGAATTAGACTCCATCTCCTGATGAAAGAGTGGCACAGTTGCATTGTAGAAAAACATACTGTTGAGAGATATTGTTGCAGTGATTTTTGAAAATACAATATGCCAAGATAAAACTAGGAAAATAAATACCAGAAGAGTAAGATAGTATAGGAAGTAAAATCATGTAGTTCAGTGGGAAAGATGATCAGAATCAGCTTAAATCAGACTCTAAATCTTATTAAAACAGAACACAGTAAAAAAAAGTAATATCAAACCATTTTTAATAAATAAATACAGTCTCAGCATAGATAAGGACAACACAACACATCATCAAGTCCTGTGATTTTCTGCTTCTTATACAGGTGTACTGACTCCTTAGATGGGTTCATGGAAAGGTTTTTGAGGGATTCAGATGAATGTGAAATTTGTCTTTGTGAATGTTTGTCTGGAAAGAGGGTCGATAGCTTTCATCCAATTCTTTCAGTTTCCTTGATCTGAAAAAAAAAAAAAATGTAAGAACCTCTACGGTACGTTGAAGTAACTTCATACTTGGTTTGGAGGGCTTCAGGTCTAGGAGTTAGAGAGCAGAACAGTCTTTCTGCCCGTAATAGCCTTCGCCTGTTCCTCAGCTTGACCACACCCACTTCTGCCCCTTTGCGGGAAGGTCTGCCTTGGAAAGTGCCTGCATCCACACCATTTGCAGTTTGGTCCATAGGCTTTGCCCCGTTTTCATTAAGCCTTTTATTGAAACAGCAGCAAACAAATAGGCTTTTCAACTTCAGGATAGTAGATGAGCATTTTTAAATACACTATAGCTACAAATCTACCTATTCTAAAATAGACAGGAATTTTAATTCTGTTCTGTCTGAAATATTTCACAGTAAAAAGCCATGGCATTAACAGGGTAAGGTAAAACTTGTGAGTATCATAGACAAAAGGACTTAAATAGTTTTCCTTTATTAGGAGGAATAGTAAATTCTACAGGAATTGAGCATGAAGTTAAGTTTCAGTATAAATATATTTTTCTGAAATTGTTTATATTTTCCACCCCTTATCTTCTTCTAGTCACCAGATGGTAAGAATAAAATTTAGGTCCTAAACGCCTTTTAAAATCAAGTTTTAAGAATTTTCTGATTATACCAATTTTATGCAAGGGAAGGTCCTAGCCTTCTTTTCAATGCAAAGAAAAACAAAGTGTATTTTCTACTTTGTAACTTGACCAGGACTTCCAGAACCCACCAACTTTCCACCCTGCTTGATCAGGGCACAGCAGCTGCTCCTTCAGGAGCCCTTTGTGATGGTCTGTGGCCTGATGCTGTCAAACCTTTGCCTAAAGTGGAACTTTGCAGTGTAGATGGATTGTATTTTGAGCTGCATCATACGGCTTTGTCCCTAAATTATTATTTTGCTGATGTTTTTAGGGATGAACAAGAAGCAGAAGGTGTCAGCCAAGGATGAGCCAGCTTCAAGCAGTAAAAACAGCAACGCATCACAGGTGTTGTAGCAAATCGGGTGACTGCCTCTGATGAGTGAACTCTAGCTCCCTTAGCTGGCAGGACTTCGATAAATACTCAGGCTTTTTAAATCTGCAGAATTATTTTAAGTGGTCGTTACTTCTACAGGACTGAAACTCACCCTAAAATGCCTTTATTCAATAAGTATTCAATAAGTATGTATTGAGCTTCTGCGAGAGTGCTGGACATCTCCTAGATATTGGGCTACAGTGATCATCAGCGATAGACAAATCCTCTTGGTGCCTGCATTCTACTGAGTGGATATAAATAAATTAAATATATATTTAGATAGAAAGAATGCTAGATGGTGGTAAATCTTACAGAGAAAAATCAGGGGAAAGGGATGTTGAATGCTGTGGGGTGCAAGATGGAACTCGAATTTTAAATGGGGTGATCAGGGAAGGATGCTCTGAGAAGGTTCTATTTGAGTAAAGACCTATAGGTGGTGAGTGCACGAGCCATATGGCTCTCTGGGAGAAAGAACACTCCAGACATAGAGAAGGGCAAGCACAAATCTCTTATTGTTTCAGAGAAAACAAGCATTCTGGACAAATTAAAATCCATCTGATGAATATGTGACTTTAGATTTTTTTTAAAAGAGTGTAGCTAGTCTAGTGTCTGAAAACAAAAACAAAACCCCAGATTTTCTACATGAAATGTTTCTGAAACCTCTGTGGCTTAATGATGCTATAAATATGGGTTTGTTTTGGGTAGTTAGATGATCTAGAATAATTCATTCTAATGTTTGAAAAGATTATGCAACTTTAATTTTGTTTCCCTCTAAATAGAGATGCTAGGCTTCTGGTAAAAATAAATTTGAGTTCTAATTCTACGTTTTGAGGCTATTGAACTTTAATTTAGTATTTTTTAATTTGCTTATTTTTGAGAGTAATTTAATTATGATTATGTACAGAAATTAAGTGATATAACAAATATAGATTGACATTAAGAGAGAATTCAAGGATTTTGCTGCTGGTCGAGATAGACCTTTTTTAAACCTCTGGAGCTATCTTAGTGACTATTACTTTTTAATGATGATTCTTTTTTTTTCACTTGAGTGACTGTCCCATTTTTACTCTAATTTTTAAATTCTTTTGGACTTTAGTCACAGAAAAAAGGACAGCAATCTCAGTTCCTGCAAAGCCGTAACTTAAAATGCATAGCCTTATGTGAAGGTAAGTTGAAAGTTTTACAATTCTCATAGCATTAATTCTCTCTCTTATCTGTATTTAAAAGTTTAAGTGTGTTTACAAAGTGCTCACAATGGACTAGTGAAAGCTTTATTCCTTATGACCATCTCTAAGGGCACAAATGGAAAATACTTACAACAGAGATCATAAAGGTTAAAACCAAAAAGCAGAATTAGCAAGAATTCAAATAGTGCTATATTTTATTCTTGGCAGATATTTCAGAATGGTAATTATCTCTTTCTGATCAAGTATTGCTTATCTCTTTTATACCCCTTCCTATGTTGGTTTCTGAATATATAATACCATAAAAAATCTGAAAGATGAACCACGTGCTGAGTAGATAACCCAGTAGGCCTTTCTCATTCCTACACTGAAATTATTCTTCGATTCTGAACTTAGGACAGAAAATTGATAGGCGATTTGCAAGATCATATACTTTCTTTTGTTCTTGCTTTAAAATCTGACTTTGGCTAAAAGTTCATTTTTTTTTTCTTCTTGTGTTGGGAGTTTCAGTAGCCACTGTTTACTGTCTTTCAAGTTTTTCAACGTTTGATGGTTATAGAGGACGCTAAGTTGCTTTCTACATAGTTCCCAAGTCAGGACCTATTTGCCACCATAACACAAAAGTGATTTCCTTCCTATTGTTATGCTAATCGTGTTCCAGACATAAAATTGTTACTTGGCATTTCACTGTTTTATTTACATTTCTTGATAGCTTAATAAGGTGAAAGAAGCATTTTCCATATGTTAATTTGTGCTTGCATTTTTGCTTTTAGATTTCTAAGAGAAGAGATATAGTAACTTAGAATAAATAGTTCTTTAATTTTCTCTTCCATTTACAGTGATCACCTCACCTGACCTGCACAAACATGGAGAGATATGGGTCGTCCCAAATACTGATCATGTCTGCACACGGTTCTTTTTTGTGTAAGTGTAAAAACTTAAAAATCCTATGTTACTGTCTTCTCCATAAGTGAGGTAGCAGTGACTACATTATTCTTTGGTCACTTTAGCTGCCAAAATATAGCAGACAGGTATTTTCTCATCAACTCAATGTTTTTGTTTTATTTTACTAAGCTGTGAAAAACGGGGGTGTTTAAATGCTATTAACTTAGAAGAATTGAAGAAAAACATGGTCTCTTTAACCACTATCTGTGGGTATGTATGTATACATGTGTATATAAGTGTATATATACATACGTACAGATCTTATATGTATCTAGATAGATATATACACACACATAAATATACACATATATTATTTATAGATTTAAAAAAATATTAGAACTGGGAATGAGGAAAACAATAATGAGAAAGTCTTCTTCCTATAAAAAGTTGATCTGCATATTCCATATGATATAGGCTGGCAATGCAGGGCATGTTAATGTGGATTTTTTGACACAGCTATACCATAAGAGCTGCATCAAAATACAAGAGTGGTGTTTTTCTTCCCTAAGTAAATGAGTGCAGTAGATCTGTCTGATTTTTACCCACCGTGCTTAACTCTCAACTTTTTCCCATGCCTGAGCCTTCCTCATCCATGGTCCTGTCACAGAAAGGACCTCAAGGAAGAGTTGAGTATATCTGTTTTGTACGTTTATGTAACTTTCTAAAAAGAAGCTGGAAAAATGCACTGACTTGTTTTATAAGCCATGTCAAAATGACTGTATCATGATTACTTCAATATATAGCATAGCTGGAGCATGCTACATCTGCAGCATTTGATCTATTAGCTTATTGACTGACAGTTCACAATGAAAATTTTATGAACTGCCTGGTTTTCTTTTGGTTGGTTTGAAAAGTGTGATTTTTCTTATGATCCAGATTTATATATTATGTATTTATCTATCTTTTGTGTTTATGTTACATATTAATATATAGATTACATAGTATGAGACATATACATACCTATAGATTTCATTCTTAGTGGCAAGATAGCAATGAGTATAGTAAAAAGAACCCTGCTGCTTTTGATCAGACAGTTTGTGTCTAGGCTTACCAGTTATTAGTGAGGTGACATTGGCCAAGCTGCATACCCTCTCTAAGCTTCCTCAGTAGACGCAATATAACATCATCAATAGATACAGTAGAACAATATACCGGTATCAGTTAGAATCCCAACAGGAAACCACTGGCCCTTAAGAAACGAGATAATTTCTATCATTCACAGCTGGATCACTTACAAAAGTGTGATTATAGGGAAATCATAGGTCTAGGCCAGTAACCTGGAGCTAGTAGCACCAGAGCAATTATACATCCTCAGGTCCAAAAAGATAAGAATAGGAAGCAGATATCAGAACCTGGTAGGAGAGCCATTTCTAGTTCATCAGCTTTGACAGGAGTCATGGCCTTCAGTTCAGGGACGTAGGCAGCCCAAGGTGACCTTGTGGGGCTGGAACCAAGCAAAACCTTGACCTCGCCCTCCCCATTGGCCAAACTCTACCAGAAACCAGAGGGCAGGGGAGCATATTGACCAAGTCCATAGAAGTCACCCTCCTGGGGCAGAAGGCAAGGTAGAGAAGTGTACAACCGTGGCTCTGGAGGCTCCCAGGATAGCTGTCTGCTTTTTAAGGTTATGATTCAGATTAAGGTATAGCACAGTGCAGGTCTCCACTGAAAGGCACTCATTGAATATTTTTTCCCTTCTTCTTTCTTGCTCATCTTGACTCTTATCCATTGTTAGAAGGTCGGCCTTCCAAAAGACACCTCCAATCACAAAGTTATTTCATTGTGTGAGCTGGAGATTTTCATGGAAAAGTAACTCCAGAGGCCTTTCCTTAGCTTGTCGTTAATCAGTTAATCTGCTCCTTTTAGCATCTTGCTAAAATTCATACTTGTTGAGCTAAATAACATTAGACATGGAAGTAGGCAGTAAACACTGCTCGTATTTCTTTGCAGTTTTACATAAATTATATGTAAACTAAATCAGTGGAGGTATATGTGTGGGTGTGTGTATGTTGACTGGAGAGAAGGATTTCTATATTTCATAAGAAAAAAGTGAGGAAAGACCAGCTGAAGGAAAGAGAAGAAAAAGCCTTCAGTACACTCAGATACTTTCCAAATAATGCAAAGGAAAAAATTCTATTAAGGTAATGATTTTCATTCCTTTATAAACACAAATGAGACTTCATTCTTTTTTCCTGCTCCCTCAGGAGAGAAGGAACTAATTAAGGAAAATTGATAAGATTCAAAACACATGAAAAGGAGAATCCATTCACTAATGTACATTCTAATTACAACCATCAGTTTTCCTTCTTTATAAAAGATATAATCACAGGGTTCTGCTAGTGATGTGCCTTCCTGGTGAATGGCACTATCTAGGAAAAGAATAAATTGAGGAGAAAGAAGTGAGTTATCAAATATACCATAATCAGACAGAAACTCAATTTCTATCCTTATTTCATCCTTTCTTTTTTTTTAACACATTATGTGATCTCTAAAGTTAGATGCTTTGCCTGATGACTAGGATATAAATTGGTGAGTCCTCCTTTTTATCTGTTACTAACTGAAAATATTAAAAATTATATAAATTCTGTGCTAATCTGATTTCCAGAGTAGGGATAATAAAATGTATAAAATTAAATAAATAAATAAAACAGTCATATAATATCCTAATCACATTCTCCCCAATAAGTAAACAATAACAGAGAATGAGAGAAAAATGGGGGAAACTTTAGAACAGGGTATCAGAAAAAATTAAAAGTAAAATTTAAAGGAAGATATCTGTTAGGAATAAGAGAATAAGAAGTTTGAAAACAATTTGTTGGAAAACTCCATAAATGAATAAACTTAATCAAAGATAAGTGCTTCAGGCAAAAGGTAATAATTCAGATGTTAAGAACAGATTCCAGATGGTTCTGAGGGTCTAGGAATTGTTGCTAGAGCTTGATTTCATTACTGACCTTGAGACACATGTGTACAAAGACATTAAGGTCAATATGTAGAAATAAGGCAGCTGTTTTAAAAAGGGCCAGAAGTTTCACAGGGGGTGTGAAAACCACATAGACGTATGGTGCTCTAGTCGTATACAACAAAAATGTTATGAAATGGGGATTTTAAAGCTAGAGAGGAAAACTTATTATTGGTGTTTTCCATAAATAGGAATAAATAATAAAGTCCAAGAGAAGGTAATTGATGATTTGGCAGGTTGACAGATTAGGTGTATCTAGTGCCATGGGCACCGCATGTTACACTGCCCCCACCCACTGCCATAGTGTAAACTCATAGAGATAGGAGTGTGTCTTCTCCCTCAACTGTTTGGGACCAAGGAAAGGTTACGAACTGCCAGGTTTTTGTATCTTGCTTATTATCTGGTGTTACAACCTACATGTTTAATGCTTTAGTGGTTCTCTGATTTAGAGCAGGCAGATCTGCAAATGAATCGTTTCCATAGTTTCTCTATTATGTCGATTTAAGGTATATATTTCTCAAAATATTTCAAGAAGTTCAGAAATTTAGGAGCAAGAAGGACCAAATAAAACAAGACTATCTGCAGAAAAGTGATGCAGGGTATTTTCAGTTCTTGAGTCAAGCAGATGTCGGTGCTAAATAAATTTCAGGAATTCCTATCTAAAGTCTATTCTATCTTTTAAGGTCTAGCTCAAATACCACCTCTTCTGTGAAGCTCCTAATCAAAATTAATCTCTCTTCCTGGTATTCCTACAACTCAGTGCAGAACTTCAATTTAAAATTCAGTTTATTCATTGTATCTGACTCTTCCACAAGTCCTAAAAGGCAGACTCCTACTCTTGTGTTTTTACTGTCCTGTGTGCCCTGCATCACCTTGCACGGTACCTGATGTACAGCTGCTTGTCAGCAAATTTTTAAGGAATGAACAGAAGAAGGCAAAAAAGGAAAATATTTTGGAATATGTATTGTTTTAATTTTAGGTCAAAGTTTGAAATATATCTAAAAAGGTAGCTACAGGAAAAATTTATTAAATAATTGTATCATTGCTGTTACATGAAATAAGAGATACTTTGCATCATGATTTTGCAAAAGATACACAGTGTTTGAATGGGAACATAGCAAGGAGACAGCTTATTTATGAAGTTAAAAGATAGGACATTCAGTCATGGCTCAGTGACATAAATTGCGTGACATCAAGCTGATATGATCTGGGAGCTTTGCTTTATCCCAAGTCTATAATGAATCCAATTTCTCTGTCTCTAACCCAGATCTCTTTCCAAGATTGAAACTGCCACATCACTCCCCTGCTTAAAAGTCTTTGATAGCTGCTTACTACTTATAAGATGAAGTCCAGTCTCCTTTACAAAGGGAACCAACTGATTCCTTGGTGCTTTGTTCTTCCTTCAATACCACTGCGTTGAAGGTGGAGGAGCTCCAGTCTCCAGCTGCATGGCCCACCATTTTTCACTGCCCGCTGTTTCTCACCCCGGGATGCTATGCTGCACAACCTGAACTGTATGCTGGGATTTCCACACTCCATGCTTTTGCTCTTTCCTTTCTCTATTAGTCTTGGATTCTCTCTTCCATTTTCTTCCCTCATATTGTTTATCTAATTCCCACTCCTCTTTTAAATCTTAATGTATGTCTTCCCTCCTCCCAGAAACTTCCCTTGATGCCTTTGTGCCGCTGCCTTTTGTTACTATGTAATACCCTGGGCATGTGTTTATTACTGGATTGTCCTTTTTTATGTATCGTCTTCTCCATTAACTCTGTATACCTCTTGAGGTCAGGGATTATACAGCTCATTTGTGTTTGCGTACCTAGCACAGAGCTTGGCAGATATGTAGGAATGAATGAAATGCCCATTTTAGAGCTGCTTGCTGGATATTTTGTCCCCCAAAGTCCACTAATAACTTAAAATCATTATGTACAAAGTGGAACCCATTATTGCTGTAGTTTTTAATTCCTTTTTCCATGCTCACTAGTCATCAGTTCCCAATTACATCTTTTCACAGTTTTCTTCTATAAACACCTTTGTTTCAGTGTGCATCGTTCTTTCCCCTAGAGTACACCAAAAGGTTGCTAGTTATTTTCCATGCTTCTCATTTCTTCATTGCCCCTAATCTGTTTTTGAAAATGCCAGATTTTTTAAACATTGCCATCATTACACCAGTGATACCTGTTCAATGTACAGAAACTGAAATCAAATGTAAGCAAAAAGAGAGACAATCACCCATCATACTCCCACTGAGAGTTAGCTATGGTTAATAAGATCATACAATTTATACCACATTATTTTTCCAAAAGGAGAGTTTGATTATTCCTTGCTCATACAGGCTGATAGTTATTAACAAATAAAAACATGGCATTCTGCAATATAGTGCCCATCTGACTTGACTTGTTACCCATACAAACCACTGATTGAATAAAATTATTATCCAAGCTGTTTCTTGAAAAAAACTTGGAATTCTTTTCCCCACTAATGTGCCTTTGCTCAGTCAGTAGGAATGGTTGGCTTTCTCACCAGCTCAGCCTTTAGCCAATCTTTCCAGGCTTAACTGTATGGTCTTTTCCGTGGGGCCTCTCCCAGTGTCCCACTCAGACAGGATCTGTCTTTACTGTCAGTTCTGCTTGCCCTTTCTTTGTATCACCCAGGCTGCCTTGTCCTCCGGTTATTTGCATAACTCTATTATCTCCCCTAGTAAAATGCAAATTCTGTCCGTGTTTGGGAATCTTACATCTCGTGCAGAAACACGTAATACATATTGAATGAAAGCAATGACAAAAGGCTGAATGTTCTAACTTAATAGATTTATACACGGGCTCTGAAGCAGACAGTACACTACAGCATCAGATTTCTTACAAGAACTTTGGAGAAGTGCTGGATATCATTCAGTTCACAGTGAATTTCTCCTCTCTGTGACTAATGAAAAACAGTGCTATCATTTCTGGCTTCCAGATTTAGGGAATCAGAAAACAAGTGTAGGGCTTCCCTGGTGGCGCAGTGGTTGAGAGTCCGCCTGCCGATGCAGGGGACACGGGTTCGTGCCCCGGTCCGGGAAGATCCCACATGCCGTGGAGCGGCTAGGCCCGTGAGCCATGGCCGCTGAGGCTGCGCGTCCGCAGCCTGTGCTCCGTAACGGGAGAGGCCACAAAAGTGAGAGGCCCGCGTACAGCAAAAAAAAAGAAAAGAAAAGAAAACAAATGTATGTGAGCCAATCTTAAAACTGTCACAGAGCTGCTATAATCAGTTTGAAAATAAAGGTTGTCAATACATTTAAGTTTTTGTCCATGAAATTTCCTAACATAGCCAAGAGAGTTCCGGATAGCCAAATTCCATCTATTGTCTCATAGCTTTTAAAGCAAATTGGTTTATTATTTATTAAAATTTCAGTTATCTTTTTATACTCCTAGGAACATAAGTAATTTTTGTCTTCTTTTAGATGGTTTCATTTTTCCTTCTGTAGAAAACACCAGTCAAGTGTATCATTTCCCTACTGATATCACTCTTGCTGTATTTCTTTTTTTTAAATTTTGTTGCTGCCTGGACGTAAGTGAACTTCAGTGTTATATTAACAACTTAGTGTTTGTCTGCAATACTAATAAATAGCTGCAAAATAGTCTGTATGCTATATTGTAATAAATGTCTTAATGCCACTAGTAATTCATTTATCTAAGCCCTGCTGGTTGACCAATTCAAATGGTAGTTGGGTTTACCTTTATTATTATATATGCTTCACAATTTAAGACACCTGAATGCCTTTGACTGATTTCATCCTTCCGCCCGCCGCTGTTGTGTTTCCTTATGGGCTTCATAGACAACGGAAAAATAAGCATTTTTCTTAATACTTTCAATCTCAATCTCTCACTCTTGCTCTCTATTCGCTCCTCCAACTGTGTTCTTTTTATAAATTATTATAGTTTATTTAAAGAATGTGAGTCTCATCTCCTCTCCATTAACTTCAAATGCTTTTTATGTGTCAGTGAATGTGTAATACTTGGATATAGCAAACCCTTCCGTTTGACTGGGAAATAGTGAGGGAGGAGTGATGAGTCATGACTAGAGAAGTTTAGGTTTGGATTATGAAGGACCCAGGTGTGCTATGCCAGTGACATTGGATCTTGTTCTGCAAGTGAAGCGAAGGCCATTTGCATCACTCTAACAGGGCAGAGAATAGTCTTGTAGGAGGGATGGGGGGATAAGTGTAGAGATAGAAAGATCAGTTATAATGTTATTACAATAGTCTAGGTCAGCGTTTCTCACTACAGGAAGAAATGAATTTGACATTGTGACTTGGGAAAGAACAATCTTACTTTGTGTGGTGCAGTCAATACTCTGTCCTACTTTATTCTAATTTCATTGGAAAATGCTAGCCTGGACAACCTAATTTCAAAGCCTGCTAACTGTACACAACCTGCCGCTTGAAAATCACCCGTTTAGATGAATGATAATGAATGCCTAAACGAAGGTGATGGTATTAAATGGAGAGAAGATGCAAGTGGGAATAACTAGGGAAATGGAAGCAACGTAACTTGATGATGTATTGGATTTGGGCACGTGGAATAACCAAGAATGACTGAAGTTTTCTTGTTGGTGGGGTGGGTAGATGATGGTAGTTCAAACTGAGATATTGACAGAGTAGAAAAGAGCAGTCAGTTTTGTATTAAGAAGTTAAGTTCAGCTTTGGATATACCACCTCTGTGATTTCTGTAGGAAATTTATAGTTAGGGAAAG